CTGACCTTAGCCAGAGATCTGGCTCTGGGAGCTGGCAAACGCATTTCTGATAATGATGGACTGTATTAACCGTTAGCCAGCAGCTTCGGGCCGGGCCTTAACCGCCATGCATGTGGCCAAAACAACAAGCTCCGGCAATCAGTGGACATTTTAAGATTTTTTCTACCCGCTGCGGTGGGAAATTTGGCTGGTCAGATTTTCGCCAGAGAGAGACATACTAAAGGAAAAGCTAGCCAAATTTCGGGTGGGGGGGGGGGGAACGTGAAACACAAATGAAATAAAAATAAAGTAGAAAAAAAAAGAAATAGAAAAACCTTCGACAGCTGAGGCTTTCACTCTCGGTCTTTAGTGTCGCTGTCCCTAAACAATTTGAACTTGTCAAGTGTAATCAGTTTTCCTTTCATTCGCACTGACATTTACTCGCCGCCAACGTAGACGACGTTGACACATGGCCATGTCATCACAGCCACACGTCCGGCTCCTCCATTGCCTGCCACCTCCAACTCCAATAGACTCTTGGAGTGTCCAGCTCCTCGTCCAGCGAATATAAGAGACAGACATGGGGATTCAGACGCCGACGTGGAAGCAGCTCTGTGGCAATTATCAAAAAGCGCGCAACTTTTCACACGCAACCGATGGCAGTCGCATTGCTCGGATGCTGCAGTTGCGGCACAGTGTCAGTTGCAATAGTCGCAAGATACACCGATGTCACTAATTACGGCTCATTATAGTGACCAAAGTGTAACATGTTGTCAGCTTCGAGGACAACAAGCAAATGCAATGAGGGAAAGGGGTAGTCTTGGGCGAAGACATAGGTGATCGAAGGTGAGTATACTCTTTTAAGAAACAGATTCAAAATTACAAGGATTCGGTAAAAGATAGTCCCAAACTTCATAGATATATTATTTATATCGTTTGCTGCTTACAAATATATTTCTAAAATGCAACTTAAAGTTATCCATAAATCTAACAGAACTCTTTAGTTTATTATTACTTTATAATATGATATTATGATATGAGTTATATTTATTTAAAACACATAGATATAGATATATATCTTTTAAGAAATTTCCCTGGCTTATTTTAAGCCGCAAACTAATTGAGTTCCCACATTAGAAAACTCTTTTCTATTTATGGCTTTTAACATATACTTCCTAACTTTATCGTATGACATTCATTTTGGAGGCTGCCGAAAGGTAATCGCAAAGCTATCATGGCCACACTCCCTGTTTTTCGACTTTTCCAACTTCAACTGGGACTTGAGGCTCACACAAGCTAGTGGATAGTCAAAGTTGAAGCTGAAGTTGAAACTAAGACTGGAGGAGATATCCAAGCACCTGACAGTTGGCGCTAACGCTGGACCTTCGTCTTGTAAGGTGACCATTTTTGGTCAGATTGAAAGTGCAGTTCGTAACTATTTGGCCTGTCTCTCAAATATTCTACGGCATAGTGTTTCGAGAGCACCACAATTAAATTCTTGAGGCAGACAGCCGCCAACCTGTTGGCTCATCGGACACTACAAAAAATTACGAACTGGCCCAGTCAGTCTCGCTGGCCTGGCGAAATGTCAATTTCCGAGCCGAGCCGGTCTTTTCGAAATTAGCTCCATTAACCGGCTTGATCGATCCATCGATCTTGGCTGTGAAAACCATTTCAAGTGGCTTCAGCAGCCCGAAAAAATACCTTTTGTACATATCAATTGAGCGATACTCTCACTTGAGATGAAACCTAAAGTCGTTTGCTACACGAGTTGCCCGAATCACTTATGAAAATCGCTTGAGAAACCCTTGAAAGCGGACGGCGATCAGAGTCGTTCAAAGTTCGTGTCAACATCATCAATTTTGATCAATATGTATGGTCTAATGCTCTCCCTTGCCATCTATAAATAGGGACAGTTGGGGAAGAAGCACTAGGTATTATTAATAATATTATTACAAATAAATTGAGAGTATTTTATGTCACAGAATCAAGTAAGAGTATTCCTAAAGAACTACTGATTTTGTAAGAGTATGAACAGTATTTTTAAATTATTTTAGTAAGTTTAAATATTTTTAATATAATTTTCATGATTTGAAAAATATGTTGAAGGCCAAGTTCTTTATAAAACCTGTAACCAAATCTTCAGAGTTAGTTACAACCATTACAAGACTATAAATATTAACTAAACAACGTTCTACTGACAAATTTAAAGAATACAATTCTAGTCAGATTTTATGTATCAGATACTCCCAATTTGACCTCTGCTGTACATGTACATATATATCCATCTCTATCTGCCATTTAAACGACTCCTTTGCCTTGGGGGCTCGATCGTGTTTGAGTTCATCGCATTCGTCTCCGATCGTAGACTCGACAAAAATATGGAAAATTACAATTATTAGGCATTTGGCTTGTTTGTTTATTGGTAGGTGTATTGGGGTTATGCGCTAAATGATACATCGGCCGCTTGAATAGAGCGATCGAGCTGGTTGATCGTCCGGCGATCGTTCAATTGATTGCTGACCGCTCCAAGTGAAAATGCCTTGGACTTGGCCTGGACTGGAGGAAGATGTATGGAAATTGCTGGCTAAATGGCAGCGGACATGATCGCAGCCGATCATCACTCCTGGCATGATCACTTTCTTTTCGGGTCTCCTTCTCCTTCAATCTCTCCTTCTCTGTCTCTCTATTAAAAATGGGGGAAATCTCCAAATGGTGGTGGTGACATGTGCTCACATGGGGGACGACGACGACGGGGTCTTCAACTCTTGACCCAGCTGCATAAGCAATTATGATCTTGATGATCCCGACCTGATCTTGAGGATGATCTTCATCATGATCAATGTCCAGAGATCATCTGGAGCGAGGGAGCTGTGAGTCGAGAGCTGAGACCTGGAAGAGTTGGGAGCGGGGCTTCGTCTAGTTAAGTGACGCCCTAAGGCTGCTCGCTGGCGACCCTGTTTAAGTTTATAAAAACTCATTATAATGTCTTATAAATGCACTTGTATCAAGTGGGATTTCTTGATTGCCGTCTCTGTCTGTGCCACTCCCCCTCTCGCTCTTAATCTCTGTCGCCCCCGACTTTGCTTTTTGGCCTGATCTTTAGCTGCTCCTTTTCTGGGCACTGAGAGAAAATTGTGATCGGATTATAATAGTATCAAAATTTATGTTAGAAGCTTAAAACTCATATATATTCTTGATCAGTATGATCAGCAGAATCTATCTAGCCATGTCCGGTCAAAAAATAAATGTTAAAAATTGCTTCCAAATTTCAAAAAAAAGATAAGGGGTTAAATCTTTAAAATTTTCAAAAATTTGGGAAACAAATGTAAATTCCTCAAATTTTAAATTGAGTTTGCAGATAAACCAATTATAACTAACTTAGGAAAGCTTCCCGAATTGAAATTAAATTGATTGATATGTCGAAATAATTAAATAAAAGACTCGATTTCCGGTTCGATCCTGTAATTTAATTGAAAATTTCAAGGATATATAAACTTCGGCTTCTCTTAGTTAGTTTCTTTTTGTTATATTGAGTTCATTAAAATAGTAACAAAAGAGATATCTTGGATTTTTGATTATTTCATAGGAAATATTACTTCCAGGTCCTTTAATTGGTAATACATTTTATTATAAACTTTTTTCTGAGTGCTCCTACTACCTGGGTGTCTGTCTGTCTTTGAGACTGGGCCTTGCTCTCGACTCGACTCGACTTGACTCGAGTTGAGTCTCCGGTGACTCCGTTTGGCTCAGCTTTTGGTACCGAGGCTCCCATGCTCTCATGCTTAGACACATAGTTCGCTCAAGATCATAACATGACCTTTTGACTGGCAGTGATTTCAACGCCCACGCGTATAAAACAGACCCAACAGCACCACCGAGCCACCACCACCGCAACCACCGCAACCACCAGATCGCCACAGAAAGGCAGAGAAAATCGGAAAGGAAGGCAGCCAGCATTGCGGTCGATCTGGCTCTGTGGTCTCTCTCTCTCTGTGTGTATGTTTATGGAAAATGGGTTATGAGATATTTCTCCCAGCCTTTATCTGTATTGGCCATTTCTATTTTGACCATGGGAAATAAATTCCCAGAGCTCGGGTAGGTTGGTCCCTCCGCTAATCGAATGGATGGGAAGGAAGGAGAGATATCTGGAGGGGGCTCGCGAAGGACGTTCGTTCTGCATCTTACACCTACGCCAGCCCGGGGCAACCCAGGCTCTGATCCCACTTGATAACTTGTTGCGTTTCTCCTTCCGCAATTCCATACACATATTCTCCTATATATATGTATATGCATGTGTATATGCGGTAATTGAACTTACGCGTGCGGAGACAGTCCGCGGCGTGATGGAAAATCGATAGGTCACAGGCCCATCCACAGCCCTATTTTGATACCACCACCAACACCACCAAAAGGGCGCGGAGTCTTCCTTGTTTTCTTGGTTGTTCCTTTAATTCGAACCAAGCAACAGCAAATGGAGTGTGTGTATTTTTGGAACAGGCATTGGGCACGCGATGATGATAGTTCAGTTCTCCTGGGCGCCCCCCCAAACAACATAACAAGTTCGCCCGACTGCATTAACCCACTGCCAAAAGCTAGTGCAAGGACTGCCCCCATCGAAAACGAAAAAGGAAGGTTAACTTTGGGGAGTTAGTGAGGTGCAGATACCTTAACTTGGATTGTAAATATTTAAAACCATTAAATTAGGGTTATTTTAGGAGAAATATAACTTGTTTAGACTCAGGAAGAAGTTATTCCAGTTCTATTCTTCTATATGTATTTAATATATTCATTTTACTTTCTTCAACAAAGTTTCTTCTTTCTTATTTCTACAAAACCCTAGGCTTAACCCATCACACCCTTTTCGAAAGGGCATTGAAAACTACCTTTGTTTACTCCTTGAATGGTTGCCCCTTGTTGCCAGGACAACCCGCTGGCATTCCAATGCAAAACAAATCGAATTTCAACTGGCTCGGCCACGGGTTCGAAGGAATTTCAGTGAGACTCCTGCACAGCCTTGGAGTGGAGCTTCGGTGCTTCGGTGGTGTCTTTGCTTTTTTTGGGGAGCTTTGGTGCGCTTGCAGATATTGGATTGGATTGGATTGGATTAGATTGGAACTCCAGTCGCCCTTTGGTATTTTCTGTGGTCTAGGAAGTGGCAGTGCAATGAACTGACATGATTACGGGACCGGAGGCCAGGCAAACGCACAGGTTGTTGGACTTGAAGAAGCAGCAATGGGCCAAGGAGAGAGGTGTGTATGCTTAACCAACAAAAACCTCAAATAAATGTTACTAAAATTTAAATAATTGTTAAATTTTCAGAGGAAATCGCTCGCATGGATGAGATGTATCATCACCAGCACACCTCGCACCACAAGATCGAGCGCACCTCCATTCGCACCTACTATTCGAACCTGGATCTCAGCCAGAGTTCCACCTCGAACCAGACCTCCAGTCACTCGCGCCGAGCCCCGCAGCAGGATGTGCAATTGATTATCCGGCCGCAGGACTATAGGCAGGGCAACCAGGCCTATATGAATCAGTTGGAGCGGTACATAGAGGATCTAGACGTAGACGCCGATGCGGATTTCGAGGACGAGGACGAGTCCATGTATCGACGAACCAGAAGGGGCAGCTATGCCCCCGGCATGACCTCCCGCCAGATGCAGAACCCGGCACGCTACATGGATCTGGTTCCCACATCCCTGCAAACGGCCAAGGGCAGGATGCAGCATTCGCGACAGGGTCAGCAGCAGCAGCAGCAATTGCATCAGCAACTTTTAATGCAGCAGCAACATCAGCAGCAACATATGCAACAACAGCAGCAGCAGCAGCAGCGCTTGCGAAGCCCCAGTTTGCCAGCAATTCGTCAAAGGGGGAGGCATCAGGAGAAGCCAGGAGCAGCAGGAGCACCAGGAGCACCAGGAGCAGGAGCAGCAGCAGCAGCAGGGAAGCCAACTGACATTGATCCCGGCAACGGGGGGCCTCATCGATTAAACAACAACAATCCCCCGGCGGCTGGCGGTTGCCAGGAGGAGGACACTTCCGGCTATCTGAGCGATACACCCAAGAATCCCCACACCCCGGACATTTGGTTCAACGACGGTGCCAGCCAAATCGAGAGCATTAGTGGAGTGGGCAGTGCCAGTGTCCTGGATGGAGTCGGAGGCGCAGTCCTGGGCGCTGTGGGTGGAGGTGCGGCTGGTTGCCGACGCCTCCGCCGATCGATACAGGTTGGCACTGCAGCTGCACCGATTCCGGGACCGATTCCCAACCCACTTCCACATCCCCTGCCACCCCCGGGAAATCCGCTGAGCAAGGCGTACACCATCAAGGGACGACGTGTGCCAGGGCAGGGATATGAGCCGCTGGCTGCCGATGGATACATGGCCGATGGGTGAGTGTAACCAAGTGACCCAATCACACACAGAAAACAAACAAAAGAGCAATTAAATGGGGTGTAATTAAACTGGGTAAATCGGAATATTAATTTAATATTGATTGAAAGTTGTTGAGTCATATAAAAGAAAGGGGCTATTTGTTATTGAAATAATTAATACATAAATATTAATATATATTTTATGACTCTCATTCCCTGCAGATACTGCTACATGCCCGCTCCGCCCAGCTCCTCGAACCTGAGCCTCAGCCGCGACGTGTCCACCTCGAACACCTACCAGGTGCACATTGGGAATCCGGAGCATGGAGACTTCTATGTCCATGAGCAACACGAACGGGAACGTGCTCGATGGGCCAACTTCAACGGCGGTCATGCCGGCTCGCAGCAAGGACCAAGTTGGCTCAATCGTGGAATGCACGATCTTAAGGACAGCGAGGACGATGTCCAATCCATGCAATCCTCCTCCACATATCTGCGAGGTCAGAATGCTCCACTGGATGCCCATACCCTGGCCGAGAGGATGGACAAGCGACGCAAGGCTGCCGAGTATCACAATGCCATCAAGAAGCAACTTCATGAGCGAGAGTTGATACGAAAATGGGAGCTGGAAAGGCATCGGCAGGAGGAGGCCATCGAGGAGGAACGATTGCGCAGACAGAACCACATGGAGCAAGAGCGATTGGATTTTGAGCGAAGGACTCTCCTCGAACGTGAGGAAGCCCAGCAAAAGAAGCAGCAGGTTATCCTAGATGCCATCCAAAAGGCCGAAGTGGCTGCTAGGATGGAGAAGCAGAAAAAACGATTGGATCGGCAGACAACCAAGATATCCCAGGACACTGAGGGTGATGAATCCGAGCTACTACGCGTTCAGTCCGTCGAGGAGGAGGAAGAGGATGAGCCAGTGGCAACGGGGAAACAAGAATCTTGCCCCGTAGAGGAACCTTCGAATACCCCCCGAGGTCCGCCGCCTGTAGTCACTGAGGAGAAGGTCCTGATCGGCACACCCATCAATCTTCGACGCACCGTCACCAAGCCCATCAAGCAACCCACGGATTCCAAAAAGGAGGAGCCCAAAGGACCCAGGCAGACCTCTTTCCTGGGAGAGGACAAGGAGAATATGGCCCTGTTAATGCAACCAGCTACCCTAATCCCATTGCCTGTGACTAGCGATATTTTTGGACTGCAAAACGCCATTGGTAACCTCCAGATAGCCACTTATTTTGTGCAGCAACCGATGCAGAAGCCTCCACAAACCGCTTGCTCCTATTCAAAGGCCACGATGACCCATCGCACAGATACTTCGATATACACCGAGGATGGCTATCAGGCGGAGAAGGAGGATGAGGAACCCATGGAGACGGCGAGATCTGGCAGAACCGACTTAGTAACTGCCAGTGGTTGCTTCTCTCCAGACTCCCTGGAGGTCGATGTAGCCCCTGTTTCGATCCCGGAACAGGATAAGCTGGCCCTGATTCCTCTAAAGACTCCGCTTCATTTGAGCAACCCAAATAACACGGCTGAGGGAGATGAGCTTCATCAGGAGCTGGGCCAACAGGCCGATGTGGAAACCCAGACAGAGCTGCCCCTAAACTGCGACCTCTGCCTGTTCCACGATAATTTCTACAAGGTTCTGCTTAAGCGAGAGGTGTCCACCACGACCACCACACAGACCTCCAAGAGTCAGACCCAACCCGCTAAGGAATCCACTGCTGAAAAGGATCACGAGACCACAACAACGACCACCACAACCACGACGACCACATTCAAGGCCAAGAGCAAGGACAAGGACAAGGACAAGAGCCTGAAGAAGAGTCTGGGCAAGGAAAAGGATGCCAACAAGATGGACGATCGTCCCAAGTGGGGAGTCAATCGTCCCGTGGTGCAGTACGTCAAGGCCAGCGATCGGGATCCCTTCTGCCTGCGCAAAAAGAAGAACCATCCCAGCACGGCCAAGCCACCACGATCCCAGTCCATGGACTCCCGCCTGGACAGTGTGGCGGGAATGCCAGAGGAGCAGTTGATGAACCTCGCCGGCGGACCCCCATCGGCAGCCGGGGAACAGGAGGAGGAGGGATTCCTGCTCAAGGCCCGAAATGTATGCACTGAAATCCTACCTATTAAGACCGACGAGAAGGGACGCATTTTCCTCAATTTCCGCGAGGCCAGCGCTATAATGAACGAGGATGAGATCAAGGATAAGCTGCGCCAAAAGTATTTCAATTTCGGAAGGATCCTGCCACGCCGCAGCTGGGCCTCGGCCACCCAGCATGCATTGCCCTTCAGTGCAGTGACCACTGCTCCACCTCTGCAGACCACGGTGGGTGACCTGGCAGATGATTGAGTCCTGAATCGGATAGGATCTTGGGTAAATCATTGATTGACCAAACTTTTACTATGCCTTAACCCCCGACAAATGGAACGACTGTAAACCATATTTGTAAAACCCTTAAATATATATATAAATTTGTATTGCTAGCACCGAAAATCTAAAAAAAACTAGAATGCAATCTTCTTTCGAATTTCCTTCTATTTTTAACTTTTCCCCAGTTAGTTTACTGTGTAATTACTTTAAATTCTCCCAAGCTACTTAGCTACTTGTTCTTGTAAAATTCCTAGGCCGTGAGAAAGGACTTGACTTAATGATTTTGGTTGGCTAGATGCCGGGATTCCCCTCGTCAGGCCTTTGGGCCAGGTCTATTAGCAACATTGTTGCCGGGGCTAAGCCCTCTGAAAGCTACAAATCACACAAATGTTGCCACATTGTTCACGGTGAGCTGCTGAGCTTTGTCTGGAAAATCCGATCCGATCTCAGTCTCAGTCTCAGTCTCGGAGGAGAGTCTGTTACACTTTCACAGAACTCAAAATGTCGTATTTCACGCAGTTTTACGAGCGTTCGCGTAAATTTATGCGAAAAATCATAAATAACTCGGGCATAAGCTGCCAGCCAGCCAGGTTCATCGAGTCCTCGGCAAACAAATTTTTATATGCTACAAAAAGGGGCGTTTCTGCCACAGCATTTATTTTGTTCTTCTCTTTTTAGTTTTATTTTTTTTTAGCAAGTGGGCGCTGCATATTTTTCTTAATTAACGCATTTTGTGCGTTGTGTAACTATGAGATTTCTGTGGGCATTTTCTTTTTTTTCTTTTTGGCATCCAAACAATGCAGCCATTGAGGAATTAATTGCATGCTTATGCAAAAGTTCTCTGGCTCCCAAAATCAAAGAAAACGAAGCCAAGGCGAGGTCGTTTTTGGCCTCCCCCCAAAGAACCCCCAGGTATGTACATATACCTTCCCGTTCTCAACTGGGTTTGTTCTATAACCCCACCAACTACAACAACAAGTTCAATGCCTTGGAATTAAAATTGACCTTAGGTTTCTTGGCTACTTTTATACCCTAACAAAGAGGAGGTACTTTGGTTGCTTTACTTGTGTGTTTTATATGAAATAAATATTAAAAAGAGAAGCAATTACAAATTAAGTTGGAGATATAATAGAACCGTTTAGCCTTTTATCTTGAAAAGTATTTACTAATATTATTTGATAAGCTTAATAATAATAACTAATAGCCCCAGTCCACTAATACTTCTTTCTAGCTTCTTTAGTTTTTAATCTATACCCCTGAAATCCTTTGGAAAATCCTCTTCAAATTAAACCCTCTCAAAAAGTATAACCAACCCAAAAAGAGCATTATTAACTTGGCTTAAACCGACTGTCAAGTGCCTTTTTCGTTTGGTTTTTTTTTGTCGCTGGCTAAGGGCAAACAAAGCCAGCCAACATAATGGCTATAAAAAGTTCTCATTCGTGTTCTAGTTTCGCAGCAACAAGGCGGCAAATTGCATGTGGATGCCTTTGAATTCGAATTTCTGAGGCATGGAATGGTTTCGGGGTGGCAAAAAATAAAAAACATTTCCAATGTCACGTGAGGAAAACCGAATAGAAAAAGAAAATGAGAATGAGAATGAAAATGAGCCCAGAGGCGGCAATTGTTCGAGAGTCCGTCACCTTGAACGTATGCCAAAATCAAAAAAGTGAACCCGTGATTAATGGCACTTGATTAGGAATTCAAAGCGACAGATCGGCAGCCGATGTTATTTATTTTAGCTAACCCGTTAATGGCGGTACCCTCTTGAACCAGAAATAGTCTCTGTACCTCTCTGGGCATAATTAATGACACTCGATGTGAAGCCGTTTTCGAGTAAAATTCAAATCGATCAGGGGATCTTGAGTTAGCCTGCCATTTTGCATGATTAATGATGCCAAATAGAAGTCGAAACAAAAGCAGTTCAGCTTTTGCAACTGTTTTCTAATTGTTATTTTGCCAACAGTCAGCTTGCTGTGACAGTTGCTCAAGATTCTCAAAGAGTTTTCCATTTGTCATGTGTCGTCCCCTTCCCCTTTTGTTTTAATATGCAGACTGCAACTGCAACTGAATCTGAAATCTGAAAAAAACCGAACACTACCGATAAATATTTGACGAACAGAGCCCACCTGAGGTTGTTCCCGAACGGAAATCACATCGACAAACACCACATAAACTATAAAAAATGTTGTATTTTCAATGCAAGGCATTGCACTGTATCGATGTACATAAATTTTTGAGTATTCCTCTGGACATTCTGTACTGGTTTATGGATAATTTATGAATGTCTTTTGGCCTGGAATGTGAGCGGAATATTTTGAGGAATTTTCAATTTTCATTGACTTTTTATGATTTTCCCTGTGACTGTTATGGTGTGCTTTAATTAAATATAAGAATAAAGGAAATAATAATGCCTAGAAATTATATATAAGAAACTTCTCCTCCCTATTTACAGATTTTCCTATTACTCCAAAATAATTTGTAGCATTTTCAGGCCTTGAAAAGAAATGAAATTCTCTTGCATCTGCGCATTCCCCAAGGACAGCTGGGACATCTCTATATATATTTTTTGTCATGGCCACACTTGATTAATTCCATAAAAGGATTACGAGAGTCGGCCGGTTATTAGATAACTTCCGCATAAGGATCTAGTTGCTGATGAAGTCATCAGCGTGTCCGAAATGCTGAGCAGGAAATTGACATTTATCACACTTTTACCTTTTTTTTCGCTCCGCACAAAACGCGTACACATTCAATTTTTTATTTGCGCACACGTCCTGGGCTTCCTTTTCCTTTCTCTCATATTTCATATGGCTGCCCGACAATATCCTGTTCCCATTTCAATTGCCATTGTCTGAGAGAGTCTTGCCTTTGTCCCCGGGATTCGTTTCGGGGCCATCATTATCATAATTAATGTGACTTAATCAAGAATAATGTTTGCCAAAGAAACAATGTGGAATGCTTAATGTCTAATCAAGTTATCCAACCCTTTTTCGAGAAAATAATGCGGTCAACCGCAGGAGCTGAGAGTTCTAAAGGAAAAGAAAGGGTTGAAGGTCAGTTGAGCATCGAATTCAGAGCCTACTTTGCTTACTTAGGGCCATAAAAGCCAAGTTTTCTTCATCAAAGATTTATGTAGCATGAAAAAAGGCATTAACAGATATACCATTTATACCATTAATGCTTATTTTTCCATTTCGAACTGAAGCTGCAGTTGAAGTTGGAGTTGAAGTTGAAGATTTTAATGTTACGGGTGCCCATATGTCAGTTGATATCTCAACCAGATTTGCTCATTATGCGTGCATTGTTGTGGTCGCTCAGGTCTACTGTTCGAGCTCCCTGGGCGACATTCGCACGAATCCGTGTCCTGATCCTTATCGGGATCTGCTCTCCTGCTACCAGGAACTAGTCGTCAATGCTCCGGACTACTGTGTTTGAGGCTCTATCCCTGTGTGGCTCTGGAATATATATTTTTTGGGAGATGGGGAAACGGGAACCCATCGTCGCACATGTTGACACATTAATGTCCTCGATCCGTGCGTGAGGCCACTGGCAGATCCTAATCGCCGTTACTAACTGGAATCGTGTTGAATCTCACAATAGATTGCATTAATTTTTGGGGGGGTTTTTGTTTTGTACAATTAGTACGTCCTTTCAGGGTGATCCGTAATTCCGAATGCAATATGCGGGTTACTTCCTGATCGATGACGATCCAGATAGCTTACATTTAGGTGTGAAAATAGAAAAGCGAGTACTGAGAGATTGAATCTACACTCGAAAGATACTAGGGTTTGGAAATAAATTCCTAAATTCATTAAAAACATTTGATTTGATAAGTTTTTGAAATTTAATTGCTAACAAAATATAAAAATTAAATCCCCCGAATAAGAATTCACTCATTAGGCGTCTTGAAACTAATAGATCTCTAGGTAAACTTCAAAATAACACAAATCACATTTTATTATAAACCATCTACAAATTTTGTTGTAGTGTAAAATCTAAAAGATATTTCTCTGAATTCCTGATTGAATTGTATTTATTTCGAATCCCAAAAACTGTGCCCGAACTGTTTACCAAGCGGGCGTGGTACAGCTGCTCCCAAAAAAGGCATAAACAAATCATAACAATTGCCGGTTGGTAGGATCTTCGGTAGGATCCATATCCATATATCGACAGGCACTCACACACGGCAGCAATTTATCATCCACTAAACAAGCCGAGAGCTGTCGAAGGAGCTGGGGGGAGAAAAAGGACTTGCCATTGTCAGCCAACATTCTTTGTCTTCACATTTTGGGTTTCCAATGCCACAGACGAGCATAAATTGGAGGTGTGTGCGCCATATAAACATTAAATTTTATTTAGATGAGACCTGAAGCTGGCTCTCAGTCTCAGTCTCAGTCTCCTTTTTTATGGGTGTCCTGATTTCCAACTGTGCCTGGTTATTGATTATTCTCCTCCTTTCCGAATGCACCTCAATAAAAAATGAATTAGGGCATCGGGAATCGAGTTTCGCTCTCAGTATAGATTGCGTTTTGATTTATTATCGTATCGTAAATTTCTAAAAATTTACTGCCTGCATCAAAATCCTGATTCTCTGTTAATTCTCTTACTATTCTTTGGATATTTTTGAACACTTAAAGTTATCTTCTTTTTTTGAAGATTTTCCCAGCAATGGCGACGGCGCCTTCGATTTTCCGTTCACTTTTGAGGGTTTCTTTTCTCTGTTGATTCCCCTTGACAACGTTTACTTCCTCACTTAGCACCTGGAATCGGGACACAGAAGAGCCCTCTTCGCCACTAGTTTAGTCCAAATAAAATATTATTTGTTTAGTAATTTTGGTTGTGTTTTTTCGTGCTTTGTTTTACGTTTTGTTTCGCTTTGTTTTCTGTGTCGAAAACCAAATTTTAATTATGTTAATTTGCTGCGTTTCATGGGACCTGAGATTTATGACAATCCTCCACTATTTTCATCCTCATATTTGATTTTGTTACTTTTGTTGTAGGATTTCGCCGTAATTATGCTAGTAAGTCGCCCTGGAAAAGGTGTGGTTCAGTTTCTCAGTGGTTCTCATTTCTC